ATGAGAGTAATTATAAAGAGGTGAAATTTTAATATAAAAAATTGAAATTAATTTTAACATTATTGACAAGTAGATAAATTTAATTAAATGATTAAAAATTAGAATTAATTTTTATTTTTTATAATAATTAATGAAAAAAATTGTAATAAATGTACCTCTCGCAAGCTATAAAAATCCTAGGAAAAATACACCAAGCTTCTCTGCAGCGACAAAATTCACCAATTTCCATTCTTGCAAATTCACCAAAGGTAAGATCGTATAACAATATTTCGCAGATATATATTCCCGGTAAATTCTCCTCCTAGAATTCCTATTTTGTTAATGTACTTATAATTGTCACTCTGAATAATCAAGAAATTAGAAACTAGCTGGAGAATCATGATGAATTAATAATTTAAACTTATTACAAACTGAAGATTCATGAGTTGTTAGGTCATTTTCATACTCTCCGGAGCCAAAACTTCCCTTCTCAAGGGTTAAAGAATTCATTCATCGTTCCTATATATGGTGGATTAATTTCCTGCAGGCTGCAGCAAGCTGCTCAATCACCCTTTGGTAACTTTCTCCTTTCTACTCTATAATTATATATTAATTAAGCTTTAATTTGCTCCAAGAGATTGGAGATCAAGTGTTTTTAGGTAAAGATGCTATGCTCAAGGCGTCATGCTTCTTCTCATCTTTTGTTTAAAAATGAAGAGAGAAAGTAAAGAAAGAGATGTATATATGCACTTTTTCAATGATATATGTATAGGAAACTAAAAGAATAGCATATCATGCACCATATACAATTGAAAATGGTTTGTTTCCTACCACACACAATCATCTCCTCCATGAAATAATAACATGGAAAACATTAAAATAAAATAAAAAAAAAACTCAGATATTATAACTGTTTTGGAAGTGTTTAGATAATATTGTTAATTAATATTAATCATACATTATTACCAACACTATAACATTCTTTCTCAAAACTTTTTATATGCAAGGCTTAAGGCTTAATACTCCTATTCACTTGAGTCAACATTGTTAATTATATTTTAAGGCTCACTCAACTTTAATTAAGGCGCATTTCCCTTCTTTTCCATCCAAATTGTAAGAGAAGCTTTATAATAATTAATCTTTGCATCTCAGAAATATATTGTTAAATCACTTTTAGCTTTTTTTTTTTTGTGACTATATCAGGTAAATCACCAGTAGGTGGAATTTATAAGAGAGGTTGATTCTAGAAGCAAGCATTGTACAGAATATATAGAAATTCCAAAGCATAAATTGACACATCTTTTGTACTGGTTTTTTTTCCAATTTCAAGTACAAGGATATATTCTTGTGGTTGTGACATTAAGAGGGTATCCATTCTTTTCCTTTACTTAGGTCATTAAGAGGGTTTATGTGCTGCTTTATACTTAAAAGTCATAATCACCTAAAAATAAACAAGATGCCCCTCCTAGGCTTTTTCCCATCTAAGCTCTAAATTATTCATATTCAAAACTTTACCTTAGTTATGCCTTTAGCCTTAGTTAGCTAGGGATTCCCCATGATTAATTTCTTAATTAGCTTCATTAGAATACATAACAAAAACTATAACTCAATCAAGATATACACTAGTGTAAAGGAGCACACATACAAAATATGATGATGAAGATGATGATGATTCTTGTAAAGTTAGACATGTTGGGGTGCTTGTAGAAGAACAGAAACTTAATTAAAATATTTCTGAGAGTAAGAAACAAGAAGATATGCATGCACACAATGTATTTAACTTTAGTCTTTCTATGCATAAAAAGTATAACAGAAGTTAGACAAAGTTTGAAAAAGCTAGCAAATGAGATGGACCTTCTCCATCTTTATGGCGTTTTTAAACTAGAAATTGATATGAATTGATCAAAAGTAGCAGAAAGCTGATGAGTATTCACATTTCTGATAACACACAAATATATAGTATGATTATGTGTCAAATTTTTTAGGGTTTGATGCTGCTAATGCATTAGGTACAAGATCATGAACGCCAAAATCGAACATATAAAAAAACATCTCAAAATCTTTGTTGTTGTCCAAGCATGTTAGAAATCGTTATCATCGGCTGGCTCTAAACCGACAGACAGGAAAAAAGTGGCTTTGGATTACATAAACAACTTGGTCTATATGCAAAGTTTAATTTAATCGACACATTATAGGAAACAAGAAGACAAACTGCCTATTAAAAAGATTGGTAGCATGCCACATTTAAATATTAGAGAGACAAGATCATATAATTCAAGCCTTGGGGTTTGAAAACAAACTACAAAATTAAGCTCTACCTTAACCCCCTTTTAAATTAGAAATTTTTTTGAATTTTGGGTTAAGAGAGATGTATATATGAACATATATCTGTCAGTTAGGTCAAGCTGCAATTAAACAAGAAGAAATGATTAATTTTTTTTTTATTGAAAATAGTCAAGCTGATTAAAATTGAAAAATACCCAAGAAGGAATAGAAATTCTCTAAACATCATTTACTTTCAATTTTTTCTCTTTCCCAGATCAAGATTTTGGGTGATGAAGAAAAAATTGCGTACCGGCTGCCATGAAAGCATTAAAGGGAGGAGCATAGGAAGAAGAAGGAAGAGCAGCAGTTTGAGTGGCAGCAACTGGTGAACTTGAAGGTGCAGCACCGGCTAGGACAGGAGCAGCGGCATTGACTTGAACATTTGATTGCTGTGTCTCCCGGGAGGAACACTCTCCGGTGGTGTAATGGCTCTCCAGGCCTTGATCATAGAGTATACCCTTGAAAACATGGCCTCCTATGACCACAGTCGTCTGATATGCATACTGATCAACTGCATCATCAATGGAACTCACATGAACACAACGGAATGTCGCCGGAGAACTCACCTCAGCCGGAAAACTCCCCGCTTCTAACCCTAAAAACAAAAACCCACCAAAATCACCAAACACAGTTAACTAAACCAAGAAAATTAGCTCAACTTCAAAGTAGACAATTTTGGGTTAAGATCAAGTACTTTCTTTATAGGGAAGTGAAAAAAGAAAAAATCATAGAGCTGCTAGGGTTGATGTGGTGTGGATCCTATCACAATTCATCACAGGGAAAGTGAGATCATCATTTTGTATGCACACATAAGATGATGCGGTGCAAGTACTGTACCTGAGGTGGAAGAATGGTCTCTAAGCCTTTTAGGGTTAGTTTGTGAGTCCGCTTGGACGAGTCTCTGGCGCCTCCTGTAGGCCGGGACCCAAGTGCTTTTAACATGAGTTTGACACTGGAACCCTTTGCTTCTGCAGCAAGTCCTGCACCTCATGTATACACAATCCCTCTTGGCTTGATTTCCACAGTCTTGACATCTTAACCCTCCCAACATTCCTCCTCCTTGTCTCATCATCATCATCATCACATCTCTCTTCTCTGCTCCCTTTTTACAGTATACAAGATTTTCTCTATTGGGGTAGTTGATGGAGATGGTGAGGGTGATATATAGGAAGTTTGGGTTCGGCTGGGGTTATTGTGCTTTGTATTTTTGAGATCATGGAAATAACATGATGATGTAATTTATAAATGTTGGATTTCATTCCAGCTGCAGGGGAAAACTTTTGATTTAAAGATTTGAAATTAGTAACCAAGATTAGAGGAGAATCAGGAAAGCAAACTAAAAGCCGCCAAAGAAGAAGCTAGCATTCACCTGCTCAAAGACATACAGAAACAAAGAAAAACATATATTTAAAACAAAAAGGACACTAATCACTTAAATTAATTAATAGTTATTTAGAACAAGAACCCAAGAGATGGTGGCTTGGTATCAATTAAATAGTGGTAATTTTTCATAAATTTCTTAATATTAATGTATATATTGTCATGACTTTACTAAACTAGTGCTACGAATATTAGTGCTAAATTATGATTATGAAGCTTCCCTTTACATTTCCCCTTTTTCTTTTAACACCACATCCTGTTTTTCTGGGTTCAATTAATTTGGTGCAAATATTTTGGCTTTTTTTTTTTCTTTCTCTTTTAAGTATCTTTGTAATAATTTATGTACATTTTAAAATTAATTTTTTTATTAAATAATTATAAAAACATATCTTATATTAATTTAATATATTTAAAAAATTAAATTCTTTAAATATTAAAACTTAAAACTCGAATTTTAAAACCCACTTATTGTATGTGTATGTATACGGAACTTTTTCTCACATATATATCTATATATATACATATATGATGTATGTGAATGGAACTGTAGGAAAGGATAAGAGAAAAATTGAGGAGGAAAAAAAATTACTTGTTTCCAGGCATTTTTCTGTTTGGAGTAGTGCTATGACAAACAGATGAAATCATTTAAACAGCTTGTGGATGTTCGACTTTTAATAGGCTGTGTGGTACGGGGTATGGTCCATCAGTTGCACACTTCAAAGAGAGATGTGAATGAAGACTGACAGCTCTCGCTTTCTTATGGTCCTTTGTTATCCAAAAAAACTGCCTTTTTGACCCTTCTTCCTCTAGGGTTAGATTTTGTGTGTGAAACTGAGATTCTCCATCTCAACCCCCTCGACCCTCGTACTACCCTTTGTACATTTCCGGGTAGATCTCTACTGTATGTTCAGTGCCAAACTTAGCCGATCTACAGTTTCTTTCTCTTTTTAAAATGGAAACAAGATGACCTGTTACTGTCACGGCATCACCTTCTTTGGATGTTTTACTGTGTAGTACAAATCTACTCACTCTTTCTATTGTACATGTATGTATGTGGTTTGTGCTTGATCGCGTGTATTGGATGTAAAAGTCCTTGAGACATGAGAGAATACAATTTTAATTTATGCAGAAGTGGTATGCTTAAAATAAATAATAACACATAAATCACCTTACCAACAAAGCTTTAGTTTTAATGGTTAAAATTTAGAATATCAGAGCACACAACCTCGTCTTGGTGATATTTTTCATCTTAAGTTGTAAACTTGTGCTTCACTGTTGTAATATTTACCATATATAATATTTTGTATTCAACATTCGACTTTTTTGGAATAATGACCCCTTATGAGAAGAACATGTTCTGATGAAATGGCCATGGCACATAAAGCTGCCATATGGTATGGATGGAGCATCAAGGGGCGCCATGCATGTCATGAATAGAAAATTAGGTATTGCTATTGTTGCCAAAAAGATGGCAGGCAAGAGTCAGTGGCAGAATTGAAACCATTAAAAATTACAAATCAAATCTACAGGAACCCCTGCCTACTTTGATCAGAGCCCTGGTGTCAAAATCAAGGCTTTCAACAACAACGTAGGGATAACATATTTCAATAAAAATGGAAACTTGATCTCAGTAAAGATTTCCCAAGGAACATAAAATCTGAATTTCAGTGGATGTTGAGGAAAACATGGGGCAAAAAGGCTCACGGTTGGAACTTGCTACAATATATTTCTTCTCCATCCCTTTCTGGTAAGCAGAAACCCCCCAGGCCAAGCAACCACTGGTATGAACAAATCATTTGATCTCAGGAAGATTTACACTCCCTTTTTTTCTCAAAATATTATTAACTGTTGGCCAACCAAAACATGAGCACCATGAATTCACAAGAAAAGCTTACAAAAACAGAGTGGATCGAACAATTCATGAGACGATCAAACCAAATGGAGCTGAAAATAGTAGATATCCATTTCAGGAGGGGACCTTTCAAGCTACTCCTTCACAAATAACAGAATTCACTATAAATTTTGACGAACAAAAAAAACTACTAAGCATTCACGGTTTCAGACATCTCAACTCAGCAAAGGCAGAGTCCCTTGCAGGACAGGGACACCAAAGGGAAACCACATATTCATTGCAACTTTTCACCAGAACATGCCACTTTTGAGTACAATTAGGCCTCCAAGTTGCAATTTTTTTGTCTCTTTACTCCACAAATCATACTGATGTCTACATTTCTCCAAACTAGTACATTTTTAACTCATTGTGGCAAGCCTCCTAGCACCATAGTTCAATTACTTCAATTCCATCACCACGCATATCAATCCACAAGAATCAAATCATATCATTACAGAAGATTTGCAGCATACATGAAGTTTAATGCAGACTAAGGATGAATGATTGAAACAGATATCAGATTTTCCAAATCAAATTCTGTCTATACCCTGCAATTTCACATATCCTCAAAATTCTTGGTGTGAAGTTGTGAACAGTACCATTCAAACAACACCGGCTGACAAAGCAACCAAAGGTAATACATTGATAGAAACATTTTTAAGAAGCTTTCTTAATCTAACAAATCATGAGGAAAAATGAAAACCTCACTCCAACCAGTTCAACACTGGGAAAGTATATTCATTTGACATCAGTATTTACAAGGCAATTTCACAAGTCCCACTCCTATCCAGATTGATCTTTGACCAGCCAAACTAGGGTCAAAGCACGCACCCCATTGAAGAGTAAGGTTTCATACAAAGATCAATATGACAAGTAAACCTTGGAGAATTAGAAATTGCAATCTAAAGAGATCTATTAACATTGAACATTCATCAAGTCAAATGCTAGATGTCCTGGGGATTGTAATATGAACAATTACTAACGACAATATAAGACTAAGCAAGTCTACTACACTAGTTAGACACCTAATTCCAAATAAAGATTCCAAGGAATACCCATTTCAACATAAAGATCCATTTACCCATTTTCTCCACAAATCTCCTCCAAATTGCCTTCCTCTCAATAATTGTGCTTCAACACTAACCCATGCTTTCCATGAACACAACCAAGCTTCACATACAACAATGGTGACCTTTTGAAAGTATGCATCTTTGCACATGCCCTCTTCCCCAGCTTCCAAATTCTTAGTGTGAACAGTATCGTTCAAAAAACAACAAAACAGCCAAAAGTAATACATTGATAGAACATTTTTAAGAAGCTTTCCTAAACTAATAAATCAGGAGGAGAATTAAAAACCTTACACAAAGCTTCGTTCGGCATTAGTCTTTACAAAGCAATTTCACAAATCCTATTCCCATCCAAATTGATCTTTGACCAACCAAATAAGTTCCAAAGCATGCACCCCATGGAAGAGAAGGCTTTAAACAAAAGATAAATATGACAGGCAAATTCTTTGGAGAATTTGAAATTGCAATCTAAATAGATCTATTAACATTCATCAAGTCAAATGGTCTTGGAAATTGTAATATGAACAATTATTAAAAACATGAGTATGCAAGCCCGCCACACTAATAATACCTAATTCCAAATAAAGATTCCCAATTTCAAGATAAGATCCATTTACCCATTTCCTCCACAAATCTTCCCAAATTGCATACCTCTCAATAATTGTGCTTCAACCCTAACCCATGCTTTCCACGAACACAACCAGGCTTCACGTACAAATGAGGCGACCTCTTGGAAGTATGCATCTTTGCACATGCCCTCTTCCCCAGCTTCCTCATCCTCTGCCTCACAAATTTCCCACTCACCGCCCACGGCACCAACTCGTCATCCAACCCATATGCCTCATCCCCCTCATCATAATCCTCATCCACATCTCCTTCCTCTTCTCGATACCCATAACCATCATAGTACGTCTCGTGCTGATCAAAACTACTACCATGACCTTGAATTCCTCCAAGTGTTTCATCAACCTCACCGAGATCTTGGATTAACCCAACCGAATCATCAACACCCTGAATCGACCCCAAAGTTTGATCAACCCCACCAAGATCTTGAACCAAACCCAGAGTTTGATCAACCCCGTGGCGATCCTCAATCGAGCCAAGACTTTGACGGTTCCTTGAGGAAGAAGAAGAAGAACAAGAAGAAGAAGACTCCTCCCAAGAATCGAAGTCATCATCGAGGGAAATGACACCGTCGGACTCAGTATCAGAGGAGCTGACGATTACCCAGTTGCTAACATCGTTCTCTCCATCTTCAAAGAAGAATGGCACGGTGGAGACGGCAGCAGATTCATTAAAGTTCTCCATTTTCTCTGGTTTTCCTTTTTCTGGACGGCTTTGGTTGGAAGATTTTCTGGTCTGAGATAGGGAGTGGACAGGGGCGAAATTAAGAGGTTTTTGCTTGGAGGATAATATATTAAGAAGTTATGAACTAACTACGCGTTAAGAGGGTTGTTTATTTATTGGTCCACGTGTCAGGAATAAAGTACTGCAGACACGTGGCGAAACCGCACTCGACGAGATCCTCCTTCGCGTAGAGGTTTTCCTTCTCTTTTAGTTTTCTTTTGGCAAAAGTATGGGACAAGGTCATGAACTTGCACAAAATTTCTAATTTTGAATCCAAATTTCAATTGTACTTAATTAAGATCTTAAATTACATGAAATTTTTAATTAAGGTCATGATTGGATGGAAATGTAATTATTTGTCAAATGTCTTGCTAAACAATTGTTACTCTCTTACCCATGTGGTGCAACTAGGAAAAATATGATGACTTGGTTCAATTTTAATCTATGTAGATGCTAGGTGGATTGTTTTAGGCAAGACTTTTTCCTCCATAGACAATTGGGACTCTCAAGGGCCTTTTGGTCCTTTTGTTTAAATAAAGAGAAATTGTAGTGATCTTCAATCTAGCTATTGGTGACATGGTGGAGATCTAGTTGAAGTTTGTCGAGGACCCTAGAAACAAACAACAAACAATAAATCTTCTTCTGTTGGATGAGCTTGATGGTAACTTCATCGTCGATGATGCAAACATCCACCTCCATGTCCTTGGATTTTCACTAAAGCCAAGAGCTCCTTAACAAAGAGTTATACCCTTTATCTAAGTCATCAACACAATTGCTCTCCATGTATTTAACATCATCTTCTCCTGTCTTTTATCGTTTAGTCCTCTCCTTGTTTTGCCTCTTTTTCTCAACTAGTAATTTCAAATCTTGAACTATTTAGATTAGATGTTTTATGTAATTAATCACATCCTTGACAGCAAATGCTTGATTTTGTTTCCCCAATCACAACATTTTTTTATTTGAAAGAGAAAACTGACAAAAGTCATCATTATTCTCAACAAAATGAAATTTTCAAAAAAAAAAAAAGGACAAATAATTTGTACCTTGGTAAGGTTAGGAACCATAATCCTTTAGGCGATGTACTTGTAGTTAAGTTGTAATCTTTGCTCGCGTTTGGTGGAGAAGTGTTTGGTCTTTCCAACTTCCTTCTCCTTGTTAAAGCCAACTATGGCCATGTCTTTAGAGAGCTCGAGAACTCCATTGTCCTCATTGTTATACACGCTTGAACTTAGCTGTCTCTTAAGTTTGGTGTGGGAGAGTATGGAGTGTCTTACAATGAAGAAGACATCATGATGTTGAACCATTTTGCATTGGTTGATCCTACTTTAGTCAGTGATGATGAGCAAAACCGACATCTTGCATATCATGGGCATTGTCACTAGGATCCCAATTTGGTTGCTAAGCATTCACGGTCACAAAAAGGAGTAAAAGATCCTCAATTAAAATAAAAGGACTAAAGGGGCCCTGTGAATCCTAGTTGTTTAAGTCTTAAATGTCCGTAGATGGAAAAGTCCCACCCAAGACAATTCCCTTGGCATCCACTGGATTAAAATCAAGCTAAGTCAACGTATTTTTTCATGTCGCATACCACATGGGTGAGATAATAATTGTCATTAGCAGCATTGTAAGACATTTGAAGGATTATTAAACTTTCATTTAATTGGGATTTTAATTGAGACTTTTTTGTAGTTTGAAATTTTAATTGACTACAGTTAAAGTTTATGTCCAAAATTACAAAATTTGTACAAATTCAGGACCTTATCTTATACTTTTGCCTTTTCTTTTCCCATCTTGGCTTCTACTTCTCCTCACGAAAAGAAAGCGAGGAAATAAAAACCTTCCTTTTCTCTTTTTCTTTATTTTTTTCTTTCTTTAAGTTCTCTATTGAAAGTTATGTTTTTCCTTTAAAGAAATATGGTTATTTTGTACAAATTGCAGTATCATAAAAATATTTTTTTAGTCAAATTGTAAGAAATTTTTTTTATAAAATTATACTTAAAGATCATTAA